GCGTGTGTGTGTCAAGTCAAGTCAAGTCACCTTTATTTATATAGCACTTTTAACAATACAGATTGTGTCAAAGAACTGAACAGCATTAATTAGGAAAATAGTGCTCAGTTCAGTTTAAATAGTGTCTGTGCAATCAAGTCGACGATATCGCTGGAAATGAAGTGTCCCCAACTAAGCAAGCCAGAGGCGACAGCGGCAAGGAACCAAAACTCCATCGGTGACAGAATGGAGAAAAAACCTTTGGAGAAACCAGGCTCAGTCGGGGGCCAGTTCTCCTCTGACCAGACAAAACCAGCAGTTTAATTCCAGGCTGCAGCAAAGTGTGTGTGTGTGTGTGTCTGTGATTGAGTGTGTGTGTGAGAGTGTGTGTGTGTGTGAGTGTGTGCGCAGTGGAAACATGCTGATGAAGCATCAGTGATTCATGGGTCAGCAGCTCTGGAAGAACAGTGCAGGTTTACACAGGAATCTCGTGAACACGTGGCTCATCTTTCAGGCCTATTTTTAGGAGCATTGAGACATTATTTGAGTTTAACTCTCATCACGGTTATGTGTCTGGATGTTGTTTTTTCCTCTGAGGTGATCTGAACGTGTTTCATGAGACTCGCTGTGAGATTTCCAGCCGCTGCTGATCTGATGTTTGTTTGTTGTGAATGTAAAAGTGAAAGTGAGCATCAGCTCTTCCTGTATTCGCATCTATCTTTTCATCTGTATACACGCGTTGTTTTAGTATCACTGACATACTTTTTTTTTGGATTTAGAATTAGTTTTTATTTTTATATAAAGTATTTAATTTTTTTTGTTTAAAATATATAAACTAATTCTAAATGGTAGTAAAAACTATAATGTATTATAAAATGCAATATTTTTAAAATAAACTATAATTACTAAAAAACAGCTTTTCTTAAGAAAAGATTAAATTTATTTTTAAATAATGTTAACTTTATATTTATTTTATTTGTCTATTTTTACACCCACACACACACACTCACAATAAACTATTTTATTTGTAATTGAATATACTTGATATAAAATGAACTAATTCTAAGTATTAATAAAAACTATAATGTGATTTCTTATTAAATGTATTTTTGAAAAATATTATATTTTTATGAACTAATTTATAAAAAAAAAAAAATATTCTAAATGTATTATCATGAAATTATTAATTCTCAATTGAATTGTTATAAATGTATAAATTAATTTAATAAAGTAATATTTGTGTCTTTTTTTTTTTTTCCTAACAAGAATTTAAAAAAGTAATATTTGTGTCTTTTTTTTTTTTTTTTCCTAACAAGTTTAGTTATTTTTTTTTTCAGTTTCTATTTTAGTTATTTTAGTACATCGTTAAACTAAATTAAAATAAAGCAATAAGCCCCAAGAAGCCTTGGTTTATGACAGCTAAGGGGCGTTGTTAGGTACGAGGCGAAGCGGAGTAAAACCCCCTTAGCTGTTATAAATTCACTGTAAACCACGGCTTCACGAGGATTATTGCTTTTATAAAACGGTTTCACAAAATAAAACAGAGCAAATAAAGTGTAATGATATTAATAAAAAGCAACACACAAATGTAAACAAATATGTATGTTACTTTGTAGAGTCATTTACAACAGCTTCGAACGCGGCTCAGCCAATCAGAATCAAGGACCGGAACTATCCGTTTTATAATGAGAAATGTTGCCATGGCAACTATCTGAAGTAAAAAAAAAATTTTGTGTGTGTGTATGTAGTTTTAGTTTTATTTGACAGTAATAATAGCATGCTGAATGCACAGACTCTGGCTGGTCTGTAGTGTAATATTCTGCTCTGTTCTGAGTCAGCGGGGTGTCTCTGTTGTTTGCGTATCGTCTGATTCGTCTCTCTGTCTCTATCTCTGTCAGGAGAGCGTCTGCGGCAGACGGAGAATAAAGCCATGCGCTGTAAGGTGGAGCAGCTGCAGCTCTTACTGCAGCAGCGGCGTCTGCGGCGAAAGGCCCGGAGAGACACTCGCGGCCCGTATCACTGGATGACCCAACGCCAGAACCTGTCCAGCGACGCATCGCTCCCCCTGGACTACCAGGAGCCGGTCTGGAAACCCGACGGCCCGGCAGACATCAACCCGGAGTTTGTCGTGGTGTGACGGACGCAAGGATGAAACCGTGACACGACCTGGGCATTAACGGCCGACTGACACACAGTCCCTCAGGAGCCGCTTCATGGCCTTCACGGTCGGTTTGCAGGGATTCTCAGTTCTCTTCACGGATGTTCAAGCGCAGGATGTAGCATCTTCACATCAGGTGTTCAACTCTGGTGCATGATGTTTTGCACAGTTCATTTCTCTTGAGCATTATGGGATTGTTGATGTGTGTTTCAGAGGACAGACGTCAGTCAGACCGCTGATTATTTTCAGCCTGGTTTTGGGCAAATCTCATGAAAACAGCTCATATTTCACCCCAGAATCAAATGAATATGTATATTTGTCATATAAAGAAAATGAAGCCATAGATAATTATATAACTCTCATTTTAAATTAAAACAGTAAATCTAAAAATAAAAACCAAGTCTTATTATTAATAAATACTATGTTATAATTTATTATTACATTTATTAGTGAAAATAAGTTATTTTTCATAAACTATAATTTATTTAAAAAATATAGACATTCTAAATAAATACCAACTTGTAGTAATTTTTGGGGGTTTTGCCTCTTTGTATTTGTTTTTTTATGCGTTTTTGTTTCCGTTTCTGTTATTTTTGTACATCAAGTAAAAAAAAAACTATAATATACTAAAAACTTTTATTTCTGCTAGTTGCCAAGGCAACATTTAAAATTAAACTTTGAAAGTTTATCTTGATGTACTAAAATACTTGGCATTAAAATAACGCTTAAGTGCTAAAATAATTAAAACTAAATAAACAAAAAAAATTTGACATTTATAAAAAATCAAATCAAAATTACTAAAACTTTAACTAAAATTAAAATGAAAACAAAAAAAATCTGATATAATTTTTTTTTTTTAATTTTTTTTTTAATCGTGCTTAAAATAGGCTTTACTTCTTTATGAAAAATACTATAATTTTTTTTCCCGTTTAATATTAGGATGAAATATGGCCTGGACATGTTTGGTGAGATTTACCCGCTTTATTTCTGAAGAAAGAGTCGTAATGCAGCATTTTCTTGTGGATTATTACTGAAGTTCTTCTCTCAGACGGTAGCCAGTGTCTGTTTGCGAGTCTCAGACGCTTTCTGTTTGTTTCTCACGGACAAACCTCTGAGCTGGAGTCATTATGAAAGCTGAAGTAAAGCTCGTTTGCAGATTTGGTTCTTCTGCTGGACAGCGTGTGAAGGAAGAGGTTTGCTGAGAGTTGTTCAGTGGCTTTGTTTAATCTGTGAGGAACATTCCCTGAACTCCTGCAGAATGTGGAATAACGTCTCTGTCTCATCAGAGATCAGATCTCGATCTTCATAGAGAAAGCGGCCTGTAGTTTGATGAAGCTCCTGTGTTTTTGCTTCACAAGCATCTTCCCGTTCATGCGTCTCTATCAGAAACGCTAGGCATGAAGCAGGAGTCACATTCATGTTTGTAGTAGTACTTGAGCCCGTCGTCTTCAGAAAAGCGTGTAGCACATTCATACGACTGTATTAATTTATAAACTCGCCTGGTTACTGTGAAACATTCTGCGCTTTAGTTTTGTGTCACTTTTCTTTCTTTCTCACGTTTGTGTGTTTTTGTCACAGTGTAAACTATAGTGAAGATGCGATACATTTGTGTGGCTTGTAATTTAGTTTTTATTTCTTTTTAGGAAATAAATTTAAGATTAAGAAATGTTTGCTGTTTGTTAGTGTTATCCCCTCTGATTTAACATTCATAGTTAAACAATGTTTTTTTTTAAATCTAATCGGGTCATTGTTGCATCGTCAGAAAATTGTATTATTTATTTTCACGTCTTTTTAAGCCATTCGGTGCGCAGTCACATCCAAAGTGCGCTGTGTGTATATAAAGCCACCTTGCCAGTACCAAATTGAGTTTGCTACCAAATAAGCTCAGCAGAACCCTGCACGGGCCTCAAACATATGCCCTAGTCCGGCCCTTATCCGACAGATAGAGTCTGACTGGAGCCTTATCAGAATTACTGGCCGAGTCCGACTGGAGCCCGTGTCTTTTTTTCTCTTTCTCTCTTCCCCAATTACACAGCTGCTGTTGTAGCCATTAAAATAGTTCAGTTTCGTTTTTAATGGCAAAAGTGGTTATATATATTTTCGTTTCTTTATTACGTTAATTTAGAAATATGTTTGGAAAATGTTTTTGTTTGTTAAATTCAAGTGTTTGTTTTTTTAAAGTAAGGACCAAGCGGCCAGCAGGGGACAGCGTCATCACCTGGTCGCCGGGAGGAGGTGGAGTCTTCTGTGCAGTGGTGCTGTTTTGCACCACTGGGGTGTATCCGATAGGGGTGTATCCAATCGTTTGTGCAGAGAAGCTAAAGCGCGCTTTGCAGGACATGGAGTCGCCAGCACGATCACTTGCATTTTTTTCTTATAACAGTGGAAACAACCTCATTTTTGCTCATAAAGGTAAGAGTAATACATCATTCGGGGTATTTTAAAAATTCATATCATAACAAAAATAAACCTTGGTATTCGGTATGAACCGGTATACCACCCAGCACTAACTGATGGACTGGAGTGCTGTGGATTACTTGTGGATTATTGTGATGTTTTTATCAGCTGTTTGGACTCTCCTTCTGACGGCACCCATTCACTGCAGAGCATCCATTGCTGAGCCTGAAAACATGCAACAGCAACAACATTTACATTTATTCATTCAGCAGACGCTTTTGACTTACAAAAGAGGAACGAGTGATTAGTCAGTGCTGATGTGTTTGTATGAAGCGCTGGTCTGGTCTAGACGGCGGTGAGTCATGTGACGCTGCTGATGTTGAGTGTGTGTTTATCACAGGTGTGTTTGTCAGCCGTTGGCTTGATCTTCTCAGCGGTTTCACACTAAAGCAGGATCTGAAACAGAAAACCATGAGTCTGACATTTGGACACATCACACACAAAAACAAGAGCGTGCCGCTTCAAATTACTGCTCGTTTAGTATCATTCATATACTGTTATATAGGTTTTGGCAATATTTTGAATTAGTTCTAGTTCTTAAAATGTAAACACTGTTTACACTTTAAATTTAAAGTTCTAGTAGTTTGTTGTGTTTTGTTAGCTTTAGTCATTTTTATTTACTATTTATATTGTATTTATTAATTTTTAGTTATTATTATTATTATTATTTGGTTATGATTATTTATTTAGTACTTAACTCAAACGAAAAGGAGAAATGTTGCATTGGAAACTAGCTGGAAAAAAAGTAACATTTCATTTCAAGTAACAGAAATGTTTTTTTTTTCTTTAATGGTTTTAGTTAACAATAATAACCCTGCTTCAGAAAAACACGAGGTAGATGAACAGACACAGAAACCTTCCGTGTGTGAACAAGCAAACGTTCAGTAATTGTGGACGAACATGGATCTACTCCAGACTTTATTCATAAAACGAATGCAAAATCAAACTTAAAATCTTTTCTCAGATGGTGAGTGAAAGAATGTTTTTAATATAATCTTCTTAATATTGTTTGTCAAACTAAATATTATACGAGTGGTTTTATTTGACATGTTTCAGACGGTGTGATTTGTTTCTGTAGGAAGAAACTAAATAATCATCATGGGAGAAACCGTCACTCGAGAGGAACTAAATGTTGGATTGTGAGTATTGAACAACTGAAAATATATGTTGAATGAGTTTTCTAATTGATCTGGACGGATGCAGATCTAAACTGACAAACTGCTGAATTTACTGGACTGTTTGGAAGAGTTTCTTGAAACATTACATGTGCTTAAAACATGAAAAAAAAAATCTACCAATGGGGTGAAAAAATAAATAAAATAAAATATTCAACAGAAACAATTCAAACAGAAAATAAGATTTTTTTTTTTTACCCCTATTGGCAGATGTTTGATTAATGTAAGCAAGAACTCATCTAATTGTGTGTGTGTGTTTTTGTTTTTGTCAATATAAGTCATTTTGTTTCTCAAGTAAATGTATCTTGAGTTATGAATCTTTAGATGTTTGTATTGGAAAACAAGGGTAACACATTACAAGTAACGCAAGTTACGTCACTAGTAAAGTAAAACATTACTGTTTAACCTGGAAGTAAATATCTGAGTTACTTTTTCAAATAAGTAACCCCAGTTACTTTGTTTCCATGTGTTGAGTGACAGCTCTGGTGTTGCCATGGTGACAGAAATCAGGAGTAAAGGTCATTGAGTCCGAAATTCTCGTCCGAAATTTTTGCATGTTAAAGAATAAATACGACCTCGCGTTGTGTCAATCACGTTTACACACTGCCTCTGAAACTTTCGTCCGTCATTAAAAAAATTCGAATCGGGTTCGATTTTCTGTGTTTTCGCATCCGTAGCAAGCGTTTTGATAGGAAAGGATGACAAATACGAAAAAACGCATACGAAAATTTCAGACTCGGTGTGCAAGGAGCGTTGTGTGTGAACATGATCTTACTGTAGTTCTAGACTCAATATGAACATGTTTACTCATCTCACTGCACACAAACACATTCAGTGTTCCTCACAATCAATAAAAACAGTCAAATGGAAACTCCTGCAATAATTAAATGTTAAATAAGACAAATATAATTTATGTATTTAATCCCATTTTATTAACCAATGTCTTTGCTGCTGACCTTCGATGATCCAATTCAATCATACTAATAATCAAAAATGACACACTCGTTTCATTTTAGTTATTGCTGAATAGTGTTGAACTTTCTTCTCCTGCGTCATATTCTTCATGAGATGTGTTTGAGCGGCGCCCTCTACTGTACAGACGTGAATTTACATTTCCTTCAGCCTGAGGTGGATTCATTTCACTTTTATTGTGAAAGCGCTTTTACGTTTGTAAAAGAAGACTTTTTATATTAAAAACAAACAAGCAAGCCCTGCCCAGATTTCAAAAGTAACTCAAAAGTAACGTAACGCATTACTTTCCATAAAAAGTAACATAATTATACATAATTAGTTACTTTTTTAGGGCGTAACGCAATATTGTAATGTATTACTTTTAACCCACAAGCATCCTTCGTATAGCGGCCCTTAATTGGTCCTTCGTGAACACATTTGGACACGAAGGTCTCAGGTGTGATCCCAATTTTTTTTTAAGCAAATGTCATATCACTGTCTTCGATCAAATAAAATCAATCAATTTATGTAATTTTTTCATGTTTCTAAAAGTACCATATTTTTTTATGTGAAATATGCTTATTTTTATTCTCTATTTAATATTTTTTATACTTCAGTTAAAAAAAATCATTCCAGTAAGTTCAGACAGCCAAAACCTAAAAATCCGGTGGCTTTGGTGACATCTGGTGGCATATGATGGTATAAAAATATCAAAAATATCAATAGCCACTATATGGCAGTAGTTTTCAATAGCT